CGATTTGAAACATAAACATGGAAAGATTATAGACTCCATCAGTAAAACATATCAAGAATCCAAAACTGAAGCGAAAACGTTTTCAACAACAACAACAAAAATGTCCTTTTTAAAAATGGTAAAGAAGCTGCAAACTTTCAGAATCATTTTATAATGGGAAGGGAAAAAATTAAAAAATATATATATATTTCAGTAAGGAAAAAAAGTAGCGCATATTTAAGATTTGTAGCGTTCGAAAAATAATAAGTAGCCCAAAAAGTAGCAAGTAGCGAAAATTCAATTTTCAGTAGCGGGAACTTTTAAAAGTAGCCCAATCCGCTACTTGTAGCCCAATCTGGCAACACTGGGTCTTACGGGGCTGGGGCTCTGTCCATGGATTCGTATGGACATACATACTCGCGACATACATACTCGCAAAATCTGTGGAATCGAAAGCCCAGTGGTTGGTCGCCGAGTAATACCATGAGTACAAGGATCCAAAGAAAATTTTTTCCTCTTCAGATCTATGCCTAAATTGAGGAAGTGGCCCCACAAATGAGGTCCCCCCTGCTGCGATTTAAAATTGTCACGGCATGTCTTCAGATCATCCTCAGGGATGTGTCCCAGAACATCGCCAATGGCCCAATGTGCTGCTCTAGTGTGACGTGAGCGATCCACGCACCTCTGTTAGCCGTCGCAGCAAGAATGGCCTCTGTTACAGCAAGAATGGCCCATAGGAAACTGAAAAATTGCTTGTAGTTCATGATTGCAGCAGAAAAAGATAGTCGGAAGCGATATATATAGATAATCATAGATGTAAAAACAAAACAACTAAATAACTTCTGTATATTCTTATGTGTTTGAATTGCTATAAAAGCGTATTACGGCAAGTCATGATAGCGCACCCATTTCCTTGTCGTAAAGGATTTTTCGTTTTCTTCTAAGTTGTTAAGGTTAAGATTTTTTGTGCTGAAGTGCATAATTTTATAAGAAATATGATCATGGCAAATGCAAAAAATTTCAGTGTGTTTCGCTTAGATTTATTTAAAAAGAAAGTTGCAATTGTGACTGGTGGGGGAACAGGAATAGGAAAAGCAATTAGTACTGAACTTTTATACTTAGGTAAAAATTTTATGATTAAAGTTGGATTGCCAATTGCAATAGTTTGATAGTCAGTGCTTGTAACATCAACATACATTTTTGTTTATGATAGAAATTATGAAGAGGTATTGACGCTTTTTAGGGGATATTTCCGTATCTTGATCTGTCACGCCAACTACACAATCACCAAGGTGCCAATTAGATTTTCAACTTGCAAATTTGAAAAAAAGCGAACCTGTAGAACCGGGGTGGCTATGAATTATACCTTTCGAGTTGGTCCCTTTCTGTGATGTTTCTGTTTAGTTTCTCGCTGGCCACTGCCCGGAAGTTGCCCAGACATGGCGATTATTCTACTACAGATCACGAAACGGAAATACATGGTCATATGTTATATTTAAAGTAATTCAAATAGTGACCCTTTCAGACATAATAGAGCAAAAACTGGCCTAATTATTTTTAACAGTATTGTAAATTAGTTAAATTATAATAGGTTTTACTTCTTAAACTTAACTATGCAGATTTTAGGGCTGCCAATTTTCCTAGATTTTTCAGAAAATATAGAGTCCTGGTAGTATTAAATTTATTTGTATCTATACCTTCCACTATTTATTAAGAGTCAAATCAGACATTTTTACTTTGGAAAGTAGACTTCATAACTGTTAGTAATACTGATAGTTACAGATAGTTTGCTTGCAAACATAGAGTAAGAGTGAAATGTTCCTGCTATCAGTATTTTGTCTTTTATAAGATTTAGCAGATCAGTAATTTTCTCATGTTTTGAGATAGCAATTTTTATAACCCTTTTTGACATGTTGATTTAAATTATTCTGTCCTTTGATTGGTTATAAAAATTCTTAATAGAAAAAATTGATTGCTTATCAAAGCATTGGCATTCATCTAGAGTCTGTTTAATAACAGTAATCTACCTCACCTTCTTAAGCCCATTAGACGACTGAATAATAGAAAAAAAGAAAGAAAAACTATATATTATAATATCTATTTATTAAGAGTCAAATCAGACATTTTTACTTTGAAAAGAAGTTTTCATATCTGTTAGTAATACTGAAAGTTACAGATAAATTGCTTGTAAACAAAGAGTAAAAGGGAAATGTTCCTGCTATCAGTATTTTGTCTTTTATAAGATTTAGCATCTCAGTAATTTTCTCATGTTTTGAGATAACAATTTTTATAACCCTTTTTGACATGTTGATTTAAATTATTCTGCCCTTTGATTGCTTATAAAAATACTTAACAGAAAAAATTGATTGCTTATCAAAGCATTGGCATTCATCTAGAGTCTGTTTAATAACATTAATCTACCTCACCTTCGTAAGCCCATTAGACCACTGAATAATAGAAAAAAAAAACTATCTATATGTATTATAATGCTTATTTTAATTCTAAATATATTACAGGAAAAATTGGAATTCTACTTTTAAAAACAAATGTTACCAGATTTTGGAGTTATACAAGTTTGACTGTGTTATTATTGTCCAAGCTAGATTATAATTAACTTTTAATATGCTTTTCATAAAAAGTAAATATTATATTTTATTCAAAAGTAAGGAAATTGTTTGTGTACTTTCTAACTGAGTATGTCGATGAGCAGAGTCTATTTGTCCTAAATTTGCCCTTCACACTATTATGAGGTGTTGACATACTTTACTAATATTTTGAAATTTCAGGTTGTAAAGTGGTTATTGCTTCAAGGAAAGAAGAACAACTTCTGAAAGCTGCTGAGGAAATGAAGAATACGTTAAAAGAAAAGTCTCCTGATGTTACAAGCATTGTCTGCAATATAAGAAAAGAGGAAGAGGTTTGTTATTAAGGCTACTCTGCATAACAATTTTTAGTTTATCATCTTATTATTTAATACATTTCCAAAAATGTCAAAATCAGAGTTAAAAATATGTATATACATTTTTCTACATTAAAATTTTCATTCTTTTTTATGCATTTATAGTTTTACTCATAAATATAAGTCTTAATATGAATTTCACTGTGCAGTAAGCCCCTGATTATCTGCGCTTCACTTTTTTTTTGCAATGATGAGCAACATAGCATTTAGAATTGAAAATAAATACATTCGTAGATATGGAATTATTTTAAGGGTTTTGAGAACAACTTACTAGCAAACATTCATGTTCATTTCCCAGTTGTCCACAATTAATGAAATAATGGGTCTACATATAAACATTACTGCTTCAAGTGCAATAACTAAGTCAACAGCGTAGATAGACTAAGGGGCACCCCTTGCCAGATTTAAAAATACGTCTTAGCTTAGACTTAACACAAATAAAAAAAATTATAATGTGAAACTACAGCACAATGATGAGACATTTGGGCATTTATTATCATTCATTTTATTTTAATTTATATATTTTAATTTAAATTATTTTAATATTAATTAATAAGGAGTTAAAAATTGCGATGGAAAAGCAGAATTTAGAAAAGGTACTAAATTAGAACAGTGTCTTATCACATTGACATGAAATTAATCTTAAAAATATGAGAATATAACTCTTTATCCTACAATAATTATAATCAAAGTTTAGTTAAAAGTAATTTTTTAAGTGAATTAAAATTTTTTTTTTTTATTTGGGGTGCATGTCCAAGCATTTAGACATGTTGACGACAAATATAATAATTTTTATGAAAATATCAATGTTTCAAACAAAATTCTTTTTAAATTCTTTTCAGTCAATTTAGTAATATATTTCCTGGAAATTAGTCTTTGTAATAATTCTTTTTTTTATTTTCTTAGTTCTTTTAATTTTATTTATCAATCAACTTAGGAATATATTTGCATAAAATTAAATTCATTTGATTATTAAAACTCATTCAAAACTAAAGAATTCCAAACTGATTTTTTTTTCAAAATAAAAGTATTTACTTTTGATCAAAAAAATAGTTTTATCGAAAAGAAAATGGGGGAAAAGCGATGGTTTTTGTTATCACATCACATGACACCACAGTGCATTTTAAAATAAATTAAATGAAATGGTCTTGAATTAAAGAAAGAAAAAAAATCAATAGATATTTTATGGAGCTACATGAATGCAAATTAAATATGAATGCAAAAAAAATGCATTATAGCTCAAAATAAGATTCATCATTCTGTTGGAATCTTATTTTGGGCTATGAAGTGTTCAGTTCATGCATATATTTTTACTATTATGCATTTGAATTTAGTACATCTTTAACTTTAATACATATTTAGTGAATTATGAGAAACTTTATGAATTCTCAAGACCATTTTTTTTTAAACTCATTTTTTTTAAGCTACAAAAAATTAGAAATAAAGTTAAAAAACAGTAAGCAGTTTAAAAACTCACATTCAAATTTCTCATTTTGTAATAATATTGTAAAAAATATTGAAATTAGAAAAGAAAAATATAGAGTGAAAGATAATATGGATTGAGGATTAAATTGGCACAAATAAAGCACATCAAAGGTGATGATTAAAATGATGATTTGAAAGCCCGAAGTTTCCCTCATCGGATTAAAAGTATCATGATTTTTGTACTCTGTGGAAAAGCAAAGCAATTACTGTAAGATTTGTGGGTATTAAGGTATTGGGATTTTTAAAAGTAAAAAAAAAATTTAGATTCAGCACGTCCAAAACTCAAATGCGTAATTTAAAATGTTTGATTTTTATATTTAATATACATATATAATACTTATTTTTCCTATATTCGCGGGCCGCGCATGAATAGCTGGTTGGCTGCATGTATTATTTATGGATTGTACGCCCTCAAACCTTGTGCTTTCCCAAACGCTGCGGGGGTGTATATTGCTAATTTTAATGATGAAAAATATTTAGTGCTTAAACACTAATGTTTTTAATAGAAATTATCATAATTGTTGTCAACATGCTTAAATCCGCATGCAGGCTTTCGTTATACAATCGGCTGTGCAAGTGGCCCTTCACTGAAAAAGCCTGTGCGTCCAAAATAATAGTAACAATAAAACATTTGCTGGATTGAGTATGTATATCACTTTTGTGATATCAGGGAAAAAATATTGTAAAATACCAATATATTTTAAAGTTACCAATATAATTTTTTGTTTTGAAGATAAGCTTAACTCTTTGAATACCGAGCGACCTAAACCACAACATGTCCAGAATACCGCAAACGCCCGAAGTTGAAAATCAGGTAGCAAAAATTTCCTTCCCCCAGCTTTACTCTGAAATGATAGAATGACTGATCATCTACTTATTCACTTGGGGAAATATCCCTAAAATAGGTGTGTTCGAAAGGAAGAAAGACTATTTGAAGCAAGAATATCGCTAACATAACAAGATTTATAAAATGTTAATAAATGTTTTTAATCATTTGTTTTTTTTTTTTTAAATTTTATTATTTACATGGAAAATTAGGCATGTAATTCCATGCAATCCATTTATACAATTTCTAAACAAAGCATTTATATTGAAAATAATATTCTTGCTCAAATAAAATCCTTTTTTTCGTTGTAGAACAAAAACTAAATAATTTAATAACTTAAATGATTAAAAGATAAACTTTAAACTTCTTAAGAACCAAGATTTCAAGTTAACATCAGTCATTAAGGAGAAATAATTTTGGTGATAGTACTAAAATATTATTCAACCTAAATGTGTACATATTTTATATCATTTTACAATTTGAAATAAGAGAAACTTTTCTGATTATTTAATAAAACTCTGAAACTGTTAAAAATATTATCCCCCGAAATCACCCCTAGGTATAAAATATATTTTTCGATAAGTCGTTTAACTAATTTTTAATTATTTGAAAATAAACGATTCGAAATAGATGCCAAATTTTGTATATGTCTTTCTATAATTCATATAAAAATATTTCAGTTTTTGCATTCCGAGTATGCTTTTTATACGCTCTGATTATGTGTAGTTTGAGCAAAGAGTAAGTCATATAAATTTCATAGTACAATATTTCTATATAGTTTCTACAATAAATGAATTTATTATGGCTTCAAATTAATGAGATATTAAAATTTTAAATTTTAATGTGGTGACTCCCGATGTCGACTCAGAGGTGTTATCGGAGAGTAAAAGATTAAAATTTCAATATGTATTTTGATTTAAAGCCGAAATGTACAATTTTTTCTCTTAAATAATGTATTTACTGTAAAATGCTTATTTTGTTATGTATATATTCTTGAAAAATTTTCTCTCTTAATTTTTTACTTGTTTGTCTGATATGGTATGAGGTAAAAGACAAAATAAAAAACTACGAAATGTTTATCTGTAAGTAAATTAGTATTTTCTTTATTTTAATTTGTAGAAATATATATATATATATATAGATAGATAGATAGATAGATAGATAGATAGATAATGTCTAAATTTTTATTTTATTCACTTATTTTCTTTAAAATTTCATTTTTAAGAAATTTTAATGACTATATTTAATAATCTATATTTAACTACTATATTTAATGCATAATTTTTTAATCTCTGATCCCATCGTTAATCAGCCAGACAGCTATTCTTTACATATGCTAGCGAACACAATTACTTCCTATTTCAACACTGCCTTCTGGAATCAGATTTATCTTTCTGTCACATTTTACTTGTAATTATTTCTTTTTGAGTATGCGACTAAATTCTTCTGCATTTTACTGAAGAGTCGGAAATCGGCATCTGTTTATCCACATGGTGCATTATACATGGGTGTGGTGACAAGAGATTTCTTTGGAAGAAGAAATTTCTTACATTGCCGCACCATAATTTTGATGACAAAGATATCAGTTCCAACTTCAAGTAGAAATAGAGAAAATCTACAATATGACATGTTATTTTTCATTCAACAATAGCCTTTAGAAGCTATGCTGATAACGCTTATCTTCTACAGAAATGAATGAGTTACTTGTAATAGAAGGATATGGGTGGCCTGACAGCTGAATATAGAACATTCATTGTGAAGGAAAGAATAAGTTTATGAGAAATTACAGTTTACTCCCGATTATCCTCAGGCAAAAAAATCCCTTTCATAGGAAGATAGCATTTAAAATTAATAAATCAATGAAGATTTAACTATTTTAAGAGTTTTGACACCAACAACATTCTCACCTAGTAAACATTCGTGTTCTTAGACCAGATGTTAACAATTAATAAAAAAATGGGTCCTTTCAGTTTCAAGTGCAATACCTAAGTAATAACAAGCATTGAAAATGTGAAAATAGCGAGGCATTCATAAACAGCAATTATGATTTATAGCTGTCCAACTGCAGATGCAAAATAAAGTTTAAATTTCAAAGAATAGTTTCGGTACCGATCAAAGCAGTTTTTTCTCCTGGATCCTACTGTTATAAATATAAAAACCATTTTTTAAGGCATCAAAGCCTACCCTCTAATTTAAAAAAAATAATGTTTACCTATTTATTTTATATTTAAAATTCGATTTATAATTAATTGTATTTAGTAATCTTTCAGTCTTGTAGAACTTTTAGCAGTTTATAATTTTGATCAATTCATATAGTTTTAAAGACACAATAACTAAATAATTAAATGTTTTTTTTAAAAAAAAAAAACTTTGACATCATTACTCTAGTATTTTCTTTTCAACCTAAGTAACCCAAAAAACTCTGATAAAAAAGGTAGACAGTTTCATAATTTAAAATGTTAAAAACAAATGAATTTAAAATGTTAAAAACAAAATAGTTTTAAAACAATAATTTCAGGTTAAATGAATTAAAAACAATCCGGATTTTATTTTAGCTGATAAATAATATGAACTTTTTAACCTCTAAGGAAATAATTTTCAATCAAAAATTCGTTAAAAAAATTGTCGCGAAAATCAAAATAGAAAA